GGCCGCCTCGGCGGCGGTGAGGACGGCGAGGAAGTGGGGGGGGGGGCAGCGGGCGCTCCTTGCTGAAGAGGGCGATCTTGATGGCGAGGAGGGAGTAGAGGCAGGACAGGCGCGTGATGTGGGCTTCGCGGGTGAGCTTTTCGTGGTCCAATGTAATCCGGGGGTGGAGGGTGCCGTGGCAGAACTCGTGGAAGAGGTGGAGGTAGCGGGTAAAGTAGGCGAGGAGGCGGTGCTGGCGGTGGTGCAGGGCGGCGTAGCGGGCGGCGATCTCGGCGTCGCGGAGATACCAGCTCTCGGCGACGAAGAGGGCCATCGTGTCGAGCAGCGGGGTCAGGATCTGGCGGGCGTGGCCCCAGTCCCGGAAGGCCTGGGCCCCGTGCAGGTAGACGCCGTGGTAGGGTTGGTGGTAGACGAGCTCCGTGTCGAAGTGGAGCGGGTATTTGGTCCCGTAGAAGATGGCGCACATCTGCAGCCCCAGGAACGCGTCCACCACGCATTCCTCCACCGGGTACGGGTTGGGCCCGTCGGGCACGGTGAAGGTCAGCCCTGCGCTGCTGCTCTGGCGGCGCACGTTCATCCCCCGGAGGATGTGCAGCCCGCATTGGAGGTGGAAGGTCGCCCGGCTCGGGTTCTGGTGCAGCAGCTCGCACATCACGAACAGCAGGCAGCACGCCAGTATCACCCGCTGGAAGTGCGGGTCGGCCGACTGTCGTCGCTCGTTGAGCTTGCTGATCGCCCGGCTGGCTTGTTCCACGGCGAACGAGTACCATTGGTTCTGGTCACGGCGCCCCCGTCTCTGCTGCTGGTGCTGGTGCTGGTGCTGGTGCTGCGGTAGGGAAACCTGTCGCTGCCGCCGACCGCCCTCGATTTCATACGCCTGGTTCATGGCGCCCAATGCGATCACCGCGTGGAAGACGGCGGGCTCGTGGTGGCAGAGCTGCAGAATCAGGCGCTGCCAGAGCGGCGAGTCAAAGAAGGCCACCAGATGGGGCACCGAGCGGTGCTGGAAGAACGACAGGCACCGTCGCTCGTCCGAGGTCATCTTCCACGGCAGCGAGATCTGGGCCGCCGGCGCAACGACGCTGCCGACGCGTGCGCGCTCGGGAATCCGGTGCAGATCATACTCGCACTGCCGTCCGGTCCGCGTGCAGTTGTCGCACGCCCCCGGCGTTTCATCGCATTTGACTCGGCGAGCTCTGTTTGATGAGGCTTATCGTTGAGCATGATCTCTACCCGGGGAGCGTGTAGCATAGTGCATGTACTGTACGTACCGGCAGGTTCGGCACCCGTTGCGGGACCGTCGCGAGAATGCTTTCTTACGCGTGGGCCACGGCGAACTTGTCCAGGTCAGGTTCTGCGTTTGAGGTGCTGGTTTCATTGTACGGGACATTTCTGTTGCAGTGTGTTGACGTCCACCCATGGAGAGGAATGTCGTCGAATGGCCTTTGCACGAGGGTGGAGGACAGAGAGGTTGAGACCAAGCGGCGTAAGCTAGCCCCAACAGGATTTGACACCGGTGTTGCATGCAGGTGGGCTTGGGCATTGTAACGCGATGTTGAAGTGGGTTTGGTAGGAAGGTCGCAGGTCATTAATATCCATACTAAGTACTTGGTGCTGACGTTCTATGTGGTAGTTACCCTGCTACTTGATACTAAGGCAGCAAGGCTAGACAATCGGACCAATTGTGTTCGTGACTCGGAGTAATGTGGGTCAAGCGAGGAGTTATCCCTGTGCACCATGATTCCTGGAAATCCTTTCCACCAAGCGAAGATAATTTAAGACTATATTCGTTCACTGGAGGGTCACGTAGAAGCTATGTTTGTAATTCAACCTAGGTTTAATGTAGTCAAGGGCAAACTCCAGTTAACCCTAGGTGAGCGCCGTCCCCGCCCGGACGAACCCTCAACACTACACCTCATGATCACAGATTGGATGGATGCTCTTGGAAAGCAGGACTATATCATTCCCTGCGAGATTGAATTTCTGCTCGCGATTAGGGCGTCAGTCGGTGCAATTCTATCATGTCAACCCCCATTTTCGAGGGAAGCCCTCGGCAGGCATACCTATTATCTTCCGTAGGCTACGAATTTGATTCGCAGTCGGAGCCTCCACAAGGATAGAATGGCAGCAAATTTCCTTGGGAAGGCGAAATATGGTTCTATAGTCGGTTGTCGCAGTGATTCATTATGAAACACCGTAGGAGATGCTGCAGGATGGAATATAGGGGTCCAGGGCAAGTGCCCGTGCATGATTCGTGGCCCAGTCAAGTGGATACCACATAGAAGCTAGGATTCCGATTGGCTACGTCGCCTAGTATAAACAACCGTATAGGTTGGTCCCTTCACACTCACTTAAGCGCGGCGTTTCAATGCTTATCAATCCAACTGCTTAGAAATCCACCCATATAGAGTTATCTAAAGCTTATCATCAGAACAATATGTACAACATTCACGGCAATCGAGTCATCCCGTTGGTCAGCTAGTCCACGCGGCGCACTGCTTCTACCGGAGTCTCCTGTTCCTGTCACTACTTGGACTCGATACGCAGCAAAAGGACTACATCAACTGCTAACGCAGCGGTTCGCTCTGAGGTATATAAGTATTCTTCTTCTCCCATTCTCCCTTCTCCATGAGCTATCAGCCCAGTCACCAGACTCAATCGCATCCAGATACATTCTCAACAAACCTCCATATCCAAAACCACCCACCCATAATGACAACCACCGTCCTGATCACCGGCGCCAACCGCGGCCTCGGCCAGGGCCTGCTCAAGCTCTTCCTCCAGAAACCCAACCACGTTCGTCCTCGCCCATTCACCCACTTGATCCCCACCCCTTTCCAACACCACCACACTCACACCCAAACCAGACAATCATCGCAGCAGTCCGCAACCCCGACCACCCGACCGCCCAAGCCCTCCCCACCCTCCCGCGGGACCCAACCACCCACCTCATCATAACCCCCTACGACGCCAGCCTCGGCTCCTCCGCCCAAACCGCCGTCCAGAACCTCACGCGCACACACGGGATCACCCACCTCGACATCGTAGTCGCCAACGCAGGCATCGCCAAATCCTACCCGCTCGTCAAGGACGTCCAGCTCCCCGAAATCCGCGAGCATGTCGAGACCAACGTCCTGGGCGTGGTGGCGCTCTACCAGGCGACGCGGGACTTGCTGGAGAAGTCCACGTCCACATCCACGTCCAAGCCGGTGTTTGCGATCATGGGGTCTGGGGCTGGGGCTTTGGGGTACGTTACTCTTTTTTCTCGTGCAGAGGGCTAGGATGTTGCATTGACTGACCGTGGTGTAGCCGTCAGCCGCCCGTCCCCAGCGCGGTGTACGGCGCCTCCAAGGCGATGGTGAACTGGTACGGGGTGCGCATCAACGCCGAGGACGCGTGGCTCAACGCCTTCGTGCTGGATCCTGGCTGGGTGCAGACGGATATGGGCAATGCGGCGGCGCAGGGGTGGGGGATGGAGGCCGCGCCGACGAGCGTTGAGGAGTCGGTGGGGGGGATGGTTGAGGTTCTGACCACTGGGACGAAGGAGCAGGTGGGTGGGAAGGTGGTGCTGTATACTGGCGAGGTGCAGGAGTGGTAGTTTTGGTTTAACTGGTTGGAAGGGTCGCGTGGCATGTTAGGGCTTTGTTTCTTCTTTCTGTGTGTTTTTGTATTTCTGGGGGGTTCAGGATGGTGGGGTCGAGCGTGGTTACGCTGAGTGGGTAGGGAATTGTTTTCTCAATGCATCAGCTTGGGGAATAGACATTGCCTGCAAGACGGACACTAACACAAGCAAGAAAAGGTAGGACGATATTTGCCCGGTCGGAGACTTTAAGCACACGTTCCAAGTCAGGCGGGGGATTTAGTAAGTGACTGAGCTAGAGCTGACCCGAAACCATAGTTTCAATGTAAGCCCTAAAAGACCCAACGCCGCGATGGGCTGCCGTAGCGCGGCACTACTGAATGGCCCTGTCTGTCGCGCGTCGGTCGGCAAATTTCCTGTTGTATAACTGGCGTTGTTGTTTCCGCCTGGATGAGCTCGAGCTTAAAGTCAATGGGGCTGTGCTTAATCAACTCTGTAGTCTGTGGCATACACGATGTAAGTCTGTCCCTTAGTATCGTCCGGCGCCTTAATGGAGGCCGTCAACTGACTCAGGCTATCCAGCACGTCTTTGCGCGTCTCCTTGTCGCCGGATTCGACCAGCTTGCGGACTTCTTGGGCCAAGGCTTCTATGTTGGATCTGGTCGAGGGACTATTGTGCGATAGGCTTTGGGAAAGAATCATGAAACAAACGACAACGAAGACAACAGGGCGAAGGCAGCTTTTGAACGGACAAACGGATACTCCGGCTAAGTTCTGACATCAGGCTGGAGCTGAAGTTGAAGCTGAAGTTGAAGCTGAACCTGGCTGAATCTGACCGAAGCTCAAGCTAAAGTCTGACCAGCGATGCTGGAATCCATGATAGCGGCCAAACAAGTTGCCGCGAGTTCTCCGAACTCCACCGAGGGTCTGTATTAGTGCTGCCTCCGCTTCGCCTTCCGCCCACAGCGTGCCGTGAGACCTGCGATAAGCACATGCACTGGCACTGGCTGCGCCTGCGGAGAGACCCGAAAGACTCGAACTAAACCGGAAGAAGTACTTCGAGATGCCATGCTAAATGAAGCTGACCGTTGAGAATTCAACCTCTACAACAGATTCCCGGCTGGAAGGACATCTACCGCGAGGACCCCTTTCACCCGCAGCACAAACATATCACTAACCCACCCCACCCCTAATACCCCCTCTGGCAACCCTAATCCCCTACCCTAAGCTTTTTAAGCCCACACCCCCAAAATCCTCTCCATGAATTCAGTCTCCCCCGGATTCTCCTGCCGCCACGCGTGGACAAACACCTGCCGTCCATAGTACGACAGCCGCCCATTGATGGCCCGCACCTCGTCCGGCCGGGCCAGGATGTACCGGACCACCCGCTCATACAGCAGGTTGAACCACGGGTGGTGGACCCCGTACCGGACGCACCGCACGAAGTAGAAGTGGTAGCAGGCGACGCCCGCCGCGACCTCGGCCTGGAACGGCGTGGGCGGCTCGTGCTGCTGCCCCTCACAGTGGCATTTGACCAGGACCAGCTGCTGTTGCCGGGGGCGAGGCCTTGAGTCGGGCGCGGTGATGAAAAAGAGCTCGAGTTCGGCGGGCCGTTGGGGGAGGATGCGGGGGGTGCGGAGTCTGTTGGGATGAGCGGTTGGAGGATGGTCGGTTAGCTCTTGCAGTTTTTATGGACAATGGAATTTTTCTTTACTGGGGAAAAACCTACCTGTCTGAATCCTCCAAACCCTTCAGGAACCGATCCCGCCCGCATTCGATCCACAGCTCAAGTGAGGTGAAGCCGTAGCCGAGTCGGAATATGATTCGGTTCGAGACGAGAGTGTCGGCGATGCTGTCGATGGCTTCGTCGAGCTCCTTGGCCCAGGCCCCGGTGGCTTGCTGGTGGAGCTGGGGCACTTCCCATGGCTCATACTTCATAGTGCGTGTGTATTTTCTTAGAGGAGGTATAGCTCGGGCTAGCTTGGGGGATTGCGGAAGCAGAAAGATAGCGTCTTACGGAAAGGGCATCTGGCAGCATCAGAGTCATGGGGATCCGTGAGGTCGACCTGTTTCTAAAATAACTGCTCCTGCTGGGAGCTTCGTGGATTGTCGTGCCTCCGAAGAAATTGTTACCTCATGCCTCATACAAACGACTGCTCACATTGCAGAGGGTGATTACGTCTGCTACAAACACCACAACACCCCCCTATCCGTGCCATCCGACTCGATCGACAGCGCCGTTTGTTCATCGGGAGGTCGCATACTCCCGTGACTTGACACGGACTGTGGGAACCGACTGGTTCGGCAGCGTATATGGACTCAGGCAAGTAGCCACGTCACCCTTGACTCATTTTGGTGTCTCAGGCTACGTGTGTTGTCTCAACATGGTTGATCCTTGGAGAAGGTGAGGAGGCGAGAAAGGTGAAGAGATTGTAGGGTGCGTTAGTGTCACATGACCCTGTTTGGCCCTGTCACTGGCCTAGATATTCAGATTTGAACGGATGATCAGACTCCCGAATGTTGATCTGGGGTTATTTCACTTGTATTGAACAAGCTCGAGTGGAAGACCGGCTCTCTCTTTTGTAGGAGAGGGCAGTTTTCAGAATCTGAATAATGCTATCGTGGATTGTTGACGGCTGAGAGCCGGTTGTAAGCCAGTCCAAAAAAGAGTTCGGCTTTTGTGCTCTAACTCTCTCAGCCCTGTACAGGTCCGAGACGCTTGGTACGTATAGTCACATGGGTGACAACGTGCGGTACACGCCATGCCTCGCTCTGTCAGTCAGTCCCGTGATTACGTGACCCGCCCTCCCATCCATGCTGGATCGGTCCATAGCGGAAATAGGCTTGGCGCAGACGTCGTCGAATTCGGGAGGCGGAGATGATCGCACCGACAACCGGAAAGTGTAAAATCGATAGTATCGACAAAGGTCGATGCAATATCTATAGTCACAGATGCACCACTATACCAGTGACATCTGTCCAACAAAGTATTATACAAAATCATGCAGGTATATGCAACACGGAAACTCAAAATATACAACGCCCGTTCGCTCAGGCATTATTCGCACAGGAGAAACTCGAGCTATTGGCGTCTTCGTGTAACGAGCGTCCCGAGACGTACAGTCCAAGACCACACTGGCACAGACTGTTAGAAGATCACCTTGGAGAAGAAGTCAAGCAGCACTTACCACGCAAGCGGCGATACCCACGATCAACGCATTGAGAATGGTCAACGCGATCTTTCTCGGGGAGGAGAATAGTCGGTCTTTGTTGAGGTACAGCCAGAACATGCCGCTGAAACCAACTATGGGTTGGTTAGTATTGGTGTTGTGGGGTGAGGGTGGAGTAGGTATGCTTACAAGTAAACCAACTGGCGAAAAGAGAGGCCTGGAAATATCAGTGAGCGAGGAACCTGTCGACCTTAAAAAGGTATGAACCTACAATCAAACTCAGGAGATCGTTGAAGACAGGAATGGCCTCGGCGATAATCCATGCCACGATCCACAGGACCAGCATAAGGACCACCCAGGAGCCGGTGGCCACGAGATCGCGACTGTGCATGCGGTCGCTGTTGCGGAAAATCCGCACGTACACGAATTTGCAGGCGACGTGGCCGTTGACGACTCCACCGATGATGATCTAGAGTACGTTAGCTTCAGCTCAAGAGTCTTAGAAGAGCGATTGCGACTCACCGTCGGCAGAGCAATGCCGTAGGCGATCTTAGCAATCATCGGGCCGGCTGAGCCGAGCGCCGGAGAGGTCACGTTGGGTCCGGCAAAGACGTAGATCACCACGGCGGTGACGATGTAGAGAACCGTGTCGATGCCCTGCAGCAGACACAGCGATTTAGGATAATCGCGCGGATCCTTGAGTTCGGACATGAAACCGAAGAAAGCCACATGGCCCGCTGTGGAGATGTAAGCGAAAGTCTTCATGAGAGTAGTGTCAAGACATACAGAAAGAGAAGACGATGTTGCACACGGCCAGGAAAGCCTTGTACAGACTGGTGTCCACGGTGACTTCGAGCGCACCCTTGTAGGGGCGCTGGATACCAACAGCGATCATGACGATCATAACAGCCGAGAAGACGCTGATGAATGCTGTCCAAATGTCAGAGCATGACAATCAATATGATAGTTGAACACTTACAAGCCACCGACAGGTAGGACACATTGGCTGAGGTTCGGGGCAGAGCCAAGAAGAAAGAGATGACCACGCCGACAACACCGAACACGATCGTGCACGTGCCGTGCTCGGTGATCGTGTTCATGGCCACGGTGAAGGTCAAGATATGGCTGGCCATGATGAAGACAACGAGGAGCAGTTGGCCGGTGCCGAAGAACTCACGGCCGAAACTGCCGAAAAGAACCTCGCCGGCATCGGCCATGTTTTGGATGTGCGGGTAGGCCCATCTGAACTGACCGATGGTATAGCCGGTGTAGGTGGCCAAGAGACCCAGTCCCAGCAGAAGGATGATAGCGCTAGAATGGTCAGTCTGTTGTTCAGAACATTACAAAGCAATGATACATACGGGACGAGACCCAAGACACCGACGACGGCGGGTAGCGACAGGATGCCTAAGGACACGGTTTCGGCCACCATGACTATCAAATTAGTATCTAGCGGATCATCGTGGCAGTAAGCGCGACTCACGGAAACCACATTGCCTGGGAGCAGCCAGTCAGCTGGATTACACTGGAATTGGAACAACAGAAGAGACAATGGCGAACATACCACCAGCTGAGGACCTTGTACTTGACCTCGGCATACTCCTCATCACCAAAGGTGTCCTGATAGATGGGACTGCCCTTGCAATCCTCCTGCTTCTCCTCTTTGTCGTGCAGGGCGACATCATACTGGGGCGCATGATCCAATTCAGCAGCGCCATGGCCGTCCACGGCCATGCTCATGGGTTGCGACATCCTAGTATGATGGACGAAGGGGGAGGGGGGAGGGGGAAGGGAGGTGAGGGGAGCAAGTCTCAACTCTCTCCTCTCTTCAAAGTTCAAGCTCTCCGACACAGCCGAGGTGAGGAGGAATTAAGGATGAAAGAAAAACCGGAAGAACTGGGGAAGTGTGCAGAATTTTTCCGAAAGCGGCAAGGCGGGATCGTTCGAGAGAGGATTGAATCCACCGAACTCCCCGAACACGCGAAGAAGAAGTAAGGTAGCTGGCAGCTACTAGCTTTTCCCAGCCAGGCGAATTGAAGTGAGGGAATGGAGAGATAAACAAAACAAAAAGGCGTGCTTGGAGGAAAGTGGCAGTTGTGGCCTTCTGAGTCACTGGCGTTCGCCCACCCTCAATATTGCCTCATGGGCATTCAATCTCTGCTGGCCCGGCCAGGTTACATCTAGAATTCCCTCCTGGCCAATCGTGGTCTTTCATTACCTAATGTCCACCCCGCCCTGGTGGATGCTCTCCGCTCGCGGCTGTGGCTTCTCCGCCAATGAGAGTGGGCGGCGGGAAACTTGCGGGGGCTTTCCCGCTCGGCGAGCTTAAAATTTCTGCTCCCGAAGAGGCAAGGTCTTCCGACCGTTCTTAGTCAGCAGCTTCCGCGCCAAGAGCCACGCCCCCTCCTCGCTTATCATCATCTTGCCTCTTTCGGGGCGCAACCACGATCTGCTCCTTCTGTCACTGGTGATGATCGGCAGCTGAGGGGCACATCTGACACCCTGCGCCAACCTTGGAATTGCATATCCGGTTCCTGACCCGGTATTTTGGCGGGCTGCCACCCATGATTTGCTGATGACGAGAGGGGTTCGTCTCAGGTCGGCTTGGTGTGCCAGCTTCGTCGCTTGTTTCAGGGCTCAATCGCTTCAGGGTCCTTACTTGAGTATCACCCTCGGCTATTGTGATGTTTAGACCCCTTTCACATCACCCAATAGGCAAAGTGGCATGGCACACTGGCACACTGTACAAAATAGTTGGGTACGATCACCCAAAATCATCCTTGCGACCGGGTCTCCTCAGGTTTGACCTCAATTTATTATCAAATTAGTCCTTTCCAAGCTCAAATCTACTCTGGATTGGAAGACCTAAATGGTCCCGGGGGTGTGCAATCTTCAAAGCTCAAGGATGCGGTAGTCGAGACTCGATCTCTCAATGTCATCAATGGTATTCATGAAACGTTTTTGCGAGATGACGATGTCAAATCATGCACTACATTTGCCCTATCCCCACACATGACACAAAATTGACACGATGGACCAGCCATTGATGGTCACCCAAAGAAGATAACCAAAATAGATCACCGGGGAAAAATACTAAGCACAGGAGATCTCACTGCAACGAGATAGCCCTCGCCTTGGGCCCCTTGCACTCATACGTCGCCAGAAGCGTGTGTCCATCTAGGGCGAACACACCGGGCCAGTGGCTCGAATCAGCACAGATCGATGTTGAGGTCTGATCCCAACGGATCTCGCCTCCCCGCGGGGGCGGCGCAAACACCGCCTTGATCGACGCATTCTTGACCCAGTCCACCTGGTCGTGGTCCTCATCGGTCATGAACACGACCGCCAGTGACCCATCCGCAAAGGAGGCGATCTGCGGCGCGCCGGCGTTATGCCTGTGCCCGTCATGGGGCGAATACACGACATGTCGACGGCCCCAGCTCTCCCCATCGTCGTCCGAGATAAGGGCCTCGATCTGCATGGGCCCCTTGGTGTTGGTCTCGAACACCATGACCAGGACCTCCTTTCCGAGGTCGGCATCGAAGGTCCGCGCGATGCCGTTCATTCCATCACGTCGGTGGTCATCCTTCCCATGCAGGCACCGGGGCTCCGACCAGGTGCGGCCCTGGTCGGTCGACGTCACCAGCATCGTGCACTGGTTGTTCGGGGCAAACTCCTGCGAGTAGGTGAGCTGCACCTCGCCCCCGCTGCCCATGCGCATGAACGGCTCCCAGATACCCAACCCGTCGTCACCGGACTTCTCGGCCG